GTTGCCTGCTGTAGGCAAATATCATGTGGGTTTATCATGATATTTGACTTAGCAAGTTGCTACCTTTTCAACAATTTTCATCAACATTTTAAGTGTCTGGTCTGTAAGTTCCACTATTTACAAAACAGCAACAACAGAACTGTAAACTGAAGGTGAAAACCAAAACACAAATCTGAACTCCTAAAATATTACCAACACAGCAGAGACACCACCAGGCAACTCTGAGGGTAAGGTCAGCTGCACATATTGCTGCAAAAAAAACTTGAAGAGCTACCTAGAAAAAAACACCATCATGCTTTTTGAATCATCAGAAGGCAAACACGTGTCAACATGCTCATTTATCAAGCTTTCTTATTTGCCTAAACTAAGCCACTGCCCACCAAATATCAGCCAGTTAATCCAGTTTCAAAAATGAAGGAACAGCTGACATAGGAAACCCCTACAGGAACACTATTGAGCCTCTTCCCGAAAGAAATAGAAGCACAACGAATCCAAACACCACCTCTGGCTCTTACAGCATGAAACACAGCAAAAGACAGGCAGCACCTGCCAGCTGAGATGAGGAACACAAGTTTTCCTCTGATTGTAGCTCAGGTAAGATCCTGCAGCTCCTGGGTACCCCAGAAAGAGACTGCAGATACACCCTCTCCTGAGGGAAGTGTGGTTTTCCTCTTAGAAGGATCATGTCAAAAGATCTAAATCTTTGAGGTTTTGCCATCAGCATCCAGCACATCCCCCTGTAAGTATTATCCAGCTTTACACCAGAGTAGCATCAAGGTTGCTGCCAGCTGTGCAAATTTTATTTAGCAAAAAACACACTTTCTAGCAATCAAGTAGCAGCTAAAAGTGGTGATAATGTGATTTCAAGAAAACTACACAAAATGAACAGATGACACTGCAAGTCAGACCCCTTCCATTTTACTCGTTTCATGCCACCTTCCACTGCTAACTCAYTCTCACCAAAACCCACTCCCTCTTCTGTACACTCTTCTAAGAGCAATCAGTGAATAAACATTAATCAAACACAGACTCACTGAGCACTACTAGGGCTAAGAACAGCATGAAAGTAGACTCATGATAWTCTTCATCTCATTGTTATGCATTGAACATCAATATGCTTTGGCACTGCAAAGCAAACTACTTTCCTTCCTCTGGTTGGGTGAAGAATACACTTCAGCAAAGTGTAGAGAAATTCAGTTATGGTCCAGACACTCATTTTAAAACCCTAGTTTCATTTCTTGTAATGCATAATTTATATTTGTGCATGGAATGCCACTTGAAAATAATGTTGATAATAATTGTGAATACAATGTAACATTTGAGTTACTTAAGAATCTTTAAAGGCTTGATAACAATTCCTTTACAAATAGCAAGACAATATGTAGATAGAAAATAATGTTTTCAGCTACTCACTGCAACAGAAAAAAATGGGGAAAATATTAATCTCCCAAATCCCCAAAGTAGCATTCAGTATATCCTAAAGCTACATCAAGTGACTCTATTCCTACACTCTTCTATGRACATCCCCTTGCACACCACCTGAGCCAACACCATGGGTGAGGCAAGCCTTTGATCTTTGCACAGCCAGCCCTGCAAGTGTGGATTTTCACTGGAAAACAGAATGTTACCAATTGTGCAGTAATTTGGGATATCAAGTCTTGGATTCATTGTCAGGTATTTCCAGTTCTACCTCCAGTACCAAACCAGTCCTGCCATAACAATACACAGCTTCAATCACCTCATCCTACTGAGCACGCTTCAAGTAATCCCAGACACAGGTGTGGTCAAACAGAACGGAAAAAAGTTACAAAAAATGTCTATCAAAGATAGGCAGCAGCATGGAATCACTTCCACCAGAGAAATAATCAGAGGTCAGGGGTTTTCAACCTGGAAGAGATATTCTGGAATATGTCAGTACACACACAGACCTTTTTCCTGTTTCCCTACATGTCTGCTAATGGGCATTGTCACAAAGTGTGGGAAAAATCATCAAGACAAAACTCAATGCATTGCTAGAGAAAATATGGYTATTCACAAAACTTCTGCATTTATTTTACCACTCACTCTTTCCCAAGTTCCATCCACTCACATTCCCATATCCCCAAATTCTCAACAAGCATCTGGAGAAAAACCATTTGGGTACAACACTGAGAATGAAGGTTGCCAGCTGTCAAGGCCTCACCACACTTGTGACATTATTCCTGTTCGGTAATGGTGAACTAGGTTTTGGACAAATCTTTCATACCCTTCAGGAGTCAACAGTTGCTGATGGGGTGGTCCTTTGCTCCAGAMTTCTACTTCCTGCAGCCTCAATAATTAGCAGACTAATTATTGCAGATATATATATATAGCAGACTTATTAGCAGATTAATTACAGTGAGACTAGCTTCTCACTGTCTCTCTCTCCATGATCGTTTCATGGTGGAGTACCAGGAAAACAAATGGCACAYAAGATATGAGACACCATCCTGCAGCCCTCCTTGTGCAGTTCAGGAGCAGGGTCTGCTCTAGATTAATCACTCAGCTTATCAGAGTGCAGATCTTGCCAAGCACACCACTCTAATTTTACTGCCAAGGACAGCTTCCCAGAGAACTGTGTTTTTTCACAACAATATGCAGMATCCTTTCAACCCCTGTCCTGCTGTTTCTTTTGCTAGCTTAACACACACAAAATTCTACAGGTGTTTCATTCATAAAAGCATTTGTATTTCTACTAAAAGTCTCTGGAATACTGATTTAACAGGTCTTTTATGTGACTGCTTAAATCATTAAGAGATTTCCCATATCCTTCTTGCCAGCCTGTAAAAAGCCAGAATATAACTTTGCCCAAACAGCTGCACCTTGCATTCTACACAAACAAAACTGCTTRCATGCTTTCTGCATTTTTGTAGGAGTATGTTAAAAAGAAATGTGAGTTGTTCGTGCTTCTGCAGGCTATTAACTGTGCAGGGTGAATATGCTGAGAAGAGAGAATTTCAGAATTGTTAGGGTTTGAAAGGACCTCTGGMGATCACCCAGTCCAACACCCCTGCCAATGCAGGGTCACCTAGAGCAGGTGACACAAGAATGTGTCCAGGTGGGTTTCTGCGTTTTGAATGTCTCCAGAGAGGGAGACTCCACAACCTCCCTGGTTGCCTGTTCCAGTGCTTTGCCACCTTCAGTGGAAAGAAGTTCTTCCTCGTGTTGAGGTAAAACTTCTACTTTAGTTTATGGCCACTACTCCACATCCTGCCACTGGGCACCACTACAAACTCTATGACACCATCCTGTTGGCACCTGCGTTTGAGATATTTATATGAATTGATTCGATCCCCTCTGAGTCTTGTCTTCTGAAGACTGAACAGGCCCAGCTCAGGCAGTCTTCCCTCGTAAAAGAGACGTTCCAGACCTCTCATCATCTTTCTGGCCTTCCGCTGGTGCCTCTCCAGCAGCTCCTCGTCTCTCTTGTGATGAGGAGACAGAACTGGACACAGCACTCCAGATGTGGCCTCACTAGAGCCAAGTAGAGGACGCTGCCCCGGCTCGATCCCCGTCGCGCCCTCACCTGCCGGGRGCCAGAGCCCGCAGTGCCGCTGCCCGGGCGCTGCTCCGTTCGCTGCGAAGGAGTCTCGGTGGCCCCCGGCGTGGCCCCGCTGCTCCTGCGGAGCGCAGGTACCGCCACCCTCCATGGCCGCGCCGCACGGCCACACAGCGCCGCCGCCATCACTGCTCGGGGGCGGGGCCGCTCCACGGGCGCAGGCGCAGCGCGCCGGGCTGAGGCGGGCGGCGCCATCTTGGGTGAGGGCGGCGGTGCCCAGAGACGGCGGCTGGACCGAGGGACGGGGCTGGAGCTGCGCCAGGGAAACGGGTGGGTTGGACTTCTGGGGGAGTTTCTTCACGGAAAGGGTGATTACACACTGGAATGTGCTGCCCAGGGAGAGGGTGGAGTCACCGTCCCTGGAGGTGTTTAAGGAGGRGCTGGACGTGGCACTTCACAGAATAACTCGAGTTGGACGGGAYCCGAAAGGATCATCGAGTTCAACGTCTGGTCCTGCRCCGGACACCCCAAGARTCACACCATGTGACTGAAAGCGTTGTCCAAACACTTCCTGAACTCTGTCAGGCTTGGTGCTGKGACCACTTYCMTGGAGAGCCTGTTGCAGTCCCAAACACACTCTGGGTGAAAAAACCTTGATACATCCAACCAGAACATCCCCTGACAGTTTCCTGTCATTCCTTTCGGTGCCCCTTTAGTGCTATGATCTAGTTGACAAGGTAGTGTTCAGTCATAGGTTGGACTCGCTGATCTCAGAGGTATTTTSCAGCCTAATTGATTCTGTGAGTACCACACCAGCCCTGGAAGCAAAGCTTCASTGGTCACAACAGCCCAAGGCCACCTGAACTCGAGGCACTCGAGGCAGAGAAAGTGTGGACAGAGGAAGAGGCAACAGAAGCTCCTGGGATTAATAATGTGTTACAGTAAAATGGTGCAGGTGCATGGCCTTAAAAAAAAAAACAACAAAAAAAAAACACCAAACCCCTTCCTTCAGAACACAGAAAGCTCAACTCTGGACTAATGACCTTTCTCTTTGTCAGTTTAGATAAATAAATAAAAACCCATCCAATAACGATCATGTTCCAGAAGAACCTGCCGTACATGTACTGAGCGGATAGAGGAAGAGCTCTATTCTCTCTATACCATTGAATTCTCTGTTAAGGTGAAACAGTCAGAGGCTGACGGAACATGTCAATCCCTTTTCTGCATTTCATGATGTAACCAGGAGAGTTTAATTTTATGTAGTRGCAGAGCACTGGAACAGGCTACCMAGGGAGATCATGGAYTCTCACTYGCTGGMGACATTCAAAAGCCACCTGGACACATTCCTGTAGAACCTGCTCTAGAGATCATCCTGCCTCAACAGGGAGTTTGGACTAGATCAACCCCAGAGGTCTCTCACAGCCCTAACAATTCTGTGATTTTGTAATTTTGTGTAAGCCACTAGAAGGCAATCTCGGCTTAGTCTTCTCTAGAAATGCCAAGCTCAGCCATTCAGATTCCCCCCAGTACAGTAGCATGTATCAGTACTGCTTTGAACCAAACTTAGAGGACTGATTCAATTACAAACAAAATTTCCTTACTTATTTACATTATCCTCCATGCTCACAGGACAATACATTCCTCATATACAGGTTTTTATTAAGCTTCTCACATGTAATTAAGCATACATTCTACATCTGACATGCTAGCAAGGTTGTSAGGAGCCAACTTTTTTCTCCTCCAGACACCTGTGGCAGCTGAAGTTTCATGGTTTTCACACAAATGTAGCAAAACTTGTTTCCAGTTCTAAGCACGGTGATAAAACATTCTAACCCTGTGGCAGAAACATACAAAACACAAGAAATTTGAGGAGTACAGCAGACAACAGATGTAGGAGAACAGATACTTTTAAGAGARCTATGCGGAGTGATGACACTGTGCACCTCTCAAACCAGACTTCAGGGGTCAGGAACAGTGGTGCTGCTTGAGGTACAGGCCTTAAATACATAAAAGAGAGCAAGATGGTGTAGCAGAGGTTTTCCAGGGTCAGCCTACAAGGGAAGCAACATTGGGATTTAGAAGCAATTCTCTTGATGACTAAAAAAGAACCACTTCTGGGCTCAGGCTTATTCTTCCAGTCCATGCTTTGTTAGCAAGAACATGACACTACCACACGTGAATGAAGATGAATCTATTTGAAACTGGTCAAATGTTCAGAAGAGTGTTACCTTGCCACAGTAACATCCTGTACTACAAACAAGACTGAAAATGTTATGGTGACTGAACCAAAGCAGCACTATGAGGCATCTTGCTTCCATCTGTGTTGGTCAGAAGTTTCCTAGGCAGATGATGCACAGACAAATCGGTAAGTTTTAGATGTTCTGTATTACCTATCCACACCTGCTGTACGAGGAGCACGCTCACGAGACTGTACATTCCTACCCATGTGTGAACCTGCTATAATTTGTGTAAAGCCTGCTGAAACTGAAGTCTTTTCTTTAGTTGGGAGTGATCCTTCCTCCTCAGCTGGTCTCCTAGTGCAATGTCCCTTGCAGGCAACATTCAACTGAAACAATCACAAGGGAGTGAAGTAMCAAGCTTCAGTTTGGCAGCAGCAGTAGATTCATAAGGATTAGTTGAGCAGTAGTTACAGATTGAAATTATGTATCCACAGTATATKTACAATATAATTAAATTCTCAAAAGATTTGTTTTCATTGCTATATTTTAAAGGTTGCCTTCAAATTACAGTAAGTCCTTTAAATACTTGAAAGGCATAGAAATTCCCCTTCCCACACAAAACCCCAAACAATGTATTTTAGTTTCAAAAATATTTTGAACCCACAAACAAGCTTGGTATCAATTAATCTGGTAAAATAACTACGTGCTAAATAAAAGCACAACTGGTGGAAAGAGCGCAGAGAATGTTACAAATGTGCTTGGTTTTTGCTTGCAGCATCTGGCAGTGGGTAGCAGGACAGAGGCAGGAATCTCAGTGGGTCTCTTCCTCTGTCTGTTCTGCAATAGTTTCTGTGGCACTGGCATTGGCAGCAGAGTTGAGAACTTCTCCAAAGTCTCCTCCAGCAGGTTTGCTTCCTCCAACTTTAGACTRGAACACAGAGAGAACCCCAACATAACAGTAGTTACTCGGCATGCCAGATGTGTTTAACTGTACAAAACCAGTACCTTTGCTTGAATTTARTAACTCTTCAATAAAGCAGCTTTTCCAGATCTAAGAGACCTCCACAATATTCTTAAAACAACTCTTTAYATATCTGGCAGGAAACACTTACCAGTAGATTCACACAGCAGTSTCCCTTTGACTTTGACATACATGAAGCAGCCCATACTCCAGGGCTGATTCCAGAGTCCAAAGCTGACATGCCCTCAGTTATGAACAGATGCAGGCATGCTGCCTTTTAAGGGTGMCATTTAGTCTTTGGGAGATTCAGARTTAAAASTCGCTTCTTTRTTTCTCAAGAAAGGCCTTGGAACAGTTTTGAGTCTCAACAGTAATTCCTGAGATCTTTAGCGGAGCAGAGCAGCTATTTTACTTTCTCCAGGTAACATACTTGCCTTTTCACTTCCCTTTACAACATATATCCTGTGGAACTGCAGGGGTGTAAATGACAATTAATTGCAAGAGATGGCCTAGCTCCCCTTGGTATCATTTGCACGCTTCTCATCCAGCTCAGTGTGCCCAGGAGAAGAGTCAAATCTAGCTCCAATTACACAGATTAGTTATTTTTGGAGTGAGTTTTTACCTGGAAAAGTTATTAATGGCTGTTTCTGGCACTTGAGGTTTTTTTTTTTTTTTTTTTTTTTTTTATTTTTATTAAAGTTTATATTAAGCTACATAGGCTTTTTTTTTTTTATGCCAGAAATGAGAGATGCATCCCAAGCTATTCTCCTGTGTAGGATACTAGTCTCTAGAAAGGTATGAAATAAAACCCTAGATGATTTTGGATACCTAATATTAGGTATTAATTATTTTGGATGCCTAATACTAGTTGTTTGTGCAGGTTAGCTGGCTATTAGTTCTTCCAAAGGCATCCTCCTGTACAAGGTGCAGGCAGCCCATTATTTTATTTGAAAATCATTAGGCAGTGAAACCATTTCCACAGTACTTGAAAAGATGTTTATCTAAGCACCACCTYAACAGTTTACCAGTAACTAAAAAATAGACTGCCGAGTCCACTTCAGTCTTTTCTCCACATCCATAGCTCCACAATCACCAAGGTATTTCAGTAATACTTACCTTTAAGTTTTCAACCTTTTCCTCAAAGGATTTGAAAGTAGGAGAATTTCTAAGAAAATAAAAAAGAAGCAATCACGGAATTAAAACCCCATCTAGTTAACCTATAAATATAACAAAATAAACAGACAGTTGCGTTTTCCCAATAGCAACATGAGTTTTGTTTGGGGGTCTTTCCCTGCTTTAAAGATAGCCTAAAAATAGTTTACATCTGTGATCTCCCCAAGTACTACAAAACTAAAATCAAACATACCCCCATCACAAGCTCACTTTCATCTCTGGCAACTAAGCATTGCCAGGTCCAGTGAAAGGATCTTTCATATCAACATGGAAGAGAGAACTAGTAAGTATTTTAGGTTCAGCTTAYTATTCCCAGTGATTTCAAACACATTTCTGGCTTAAAGGATTGCTCAGAAAATCTTAGTCATCACTTCTGGTTAGTTTAATTCATTATTGCTGAAGAAAGCTCATCAGACTTTTTTCACTTTCTATAGGAAAACTAGTTCAGTTTAATTTGCTACATGTTCAATTAATAAAACATGGTTCACAGTAGCATTTTCTGCTAACATATTAAATTTAAGAGAGACTCCTCCTTGCCTTTAAGTTCCAGAAACAGCTGTAATTACAAATGGTAAGTTCAGCATACAAAGAGAAGGACAGTTTGGGATTTCCAATGCTGAGGGCCRGTGTATAATTCATTAGGGTCAGAAGAATGGCTCTAATGCTCCATGTAGCTGTCACTGCCATGTGCAAATTTGTGCAACACTTTGTACACTTTTTCTGCCTTTATGTAGGATGGAAAATGCTTGCCTTCACTGGTCTGGGACTAAGAATTCATAGCAGACTCAAAAATGTATTATATAAATAGTAAAGATGAGGGTGTTTTTCAAAAGAAGTCTACAGCTTCCCTTTTCCTTTTGCTTGGCATTTGCAGTAGGTCACCCACAGCAGTCTTTCCCTTGGGAAAGCACACAGTGACATACTCTCTCAGGAGATCGAGGGACACAGTGCCAAGCAAGGGGAGAGAAAAGGCAAGCACCCCAAATCATCAAAAGACTTCTTGTGAAACCACAGGGGTTTTTTTAYTCACTTTTATTTTCAAAAYATATACCAAGCTACTGCCTTTTAAACTTGAAACCACTTAGTATCATTACATTCTAACAGACRGGGAAAAGCTTTTATAGTTTTCCAAATGGTAGGGAAATGCATTTAGTTAAATTTAGATGTTTGATARCTACCTCCATTAAGCAGAAATAAAACAAATTTTATTCTACATGTTAGTACAGGAAATCCRCTACAAAGCTGGGTCATTTTTTGGTTTTGTTTTAAAACAATAATAGTTGACTTAAGTTCAATTTTCAATTTGACTTGATTCTACACATGAAAATAAATAAACCCAACAGCTGCMTTATGCATACATTACCTCATAATGGGCATACTAATTGAATGTTGTATGGAGCGTATACTAAATGCCAGCATTAAGAAAAAAGAAAGCGAAAAGTTAGTTTAAGTAATACATTGAGAAGAAATGGGCTTAGAGAGCTGACTTCTATAAACTATCTTTGGTAAACAGCCAAACACTCTTACACAGTCTTAGATAGCAACTGCTTGGTTTTGCTTTTCTTAATTGCTTAGCCATGCACACATACAAGTTCACCAGAGCAAAAGCTACAACGTTTTTCCCTTTTAGAAAGATTCAAGTGACATGCTTGTTAGTACTTGTTCTGCTTAGCTGCAACAGTGTGTCTACTCCTAAAGTTTCTCAAGCAACAGGAGTTATGCTGCATTTACAGTTTCAGCAATTACCAGTAGAAACCAAACACTTGAGAGTCTTATCTGTCAACGAATCTTCCTACTGAAAGAATTAACCCGACATCCAGAAAGCTTCCATTTCTATTCAGTGTTTTTCACACTCATCCATACAAATTATCTACTCATCAATATGCATCCAGCAGCAGCAGTCACATCAAATCAGTATTCAAGGTCAGGTTTATGCTGGGAGCAGGGATTAAGTCCTAGTCCTGCATTCTGAAATTCAGAGAGGATTTCTCTATAGCAACTGTTAGTCTTGATATACAGTTATTGTTTTCTAGCAAGAACACACATCTGCTCCTAGAAGGAAACTGGATATAGATTAAGGAGCTCCCAAAACACCTCAAGACAACCTGCCATCTAATTTAGTTCCATAGAGAAAATCGCTGTTTTCTGTTGATACAAACAAACCTTAAATGTTTCTTATCAAATAYCACAACAGTAACTTAGAACTATTACAAGTGATGATCACAGTTTTTCATAACTATACATGGAATTTKTCTGGGCCTTATGATGTCTTTCAAGAGAATACTTTCCAGGCAGTTGCTGGGGGAGGAGAGGAGGGAAGGTAAACAACTCTCTCACATAAGATGTACCTCCAAACTTTCAATTAGCATTTCAGCACAATCAATGGAAGATACATTCACAGCAGAAAATAAGTTCTGTGTTTATTGCAGAACAAGTTTTAAGAGATTCCTTCTGAGGGCTCMTCAATAAAACATAGTGATAGAAAGRAAAACAACACACATGAAAAGTTCCCTTAGGTTGAGATCCCTTGGGCAGATGCACAACTGTAGGTTGATTTGTAGTTACAGTGTACTGGGAATCACATACACAGGGCCCAATGCTTTCCTGACATGYATCAGTAATGCACAGCCATGTTTCATTTATTTCCCCAATCCCATTTTTCCCATGTTTCATTCTTATGGATGGGCTGGCTTCTACAGGCTTTTCCAGAATGCAGAGAAGCTGGTTGTCTTCTGGACTGTAATTTGTATTCCACACTGTGGTGTGGATTACTACAAATTCTTCTCTTGCTATGTGGAAGGTTTTATTACAGAACTACACCAACATGAACTTAGTTTCAGTCAATGCTCAGTCAATTCCCYTCATGCTATAAGATGTTTCTCCCTGCAAGAAGTTTAAGGCTAAAGAGGTTGTAATACATGTACTTAAAACAGTAGACCTGCTCCCACTGAAAAAACCAACCAATAGTAGATAGGAGATTTTTTAACAGATGTCTATGAAAGTTTAGTTTAACCTCAGAGATTAGTTAATAGAAGAACTATTCATGCATTCATGAAGAATGTAATTTATGAAGAATTCTGCAATCTTGGAACAAGGCAAAGATGGACTTTGCTCCATTATATGGATTYGGTGCAGGAGAAGCCAAGTGCAGAGGCATGACTGCTCAGAAGCTGCATCTTGGTACTACTGTTGTTTTGCACAGAATGCTGTGCATGTTGCCTACACAAGGAAGGTTAGCTCATCAACACATCCTTTGAAAACAGAATAAAGGTATTAACAGAACCTAAGGAACAGAGTTCATTTTCATCACAACGAAGAGCAGAGGAAACAGATACCAAAAGGAAGCAAAAATACACTGACATTGCACKACCAGTCCTCCTTCCTCTCCATTTCAGCAGTTTCCAAAATCACAGCTCCAGCAGCTGCCTCACTCCTTTTGCAACTACCTACTAAACCACTTTGCAGTKCATGAATGAAGACCTGCATGTGATGTTTGCTGCATGGGATACGKAGAAATAGCTCAACATGGAAGAAATCACACCATTATAGCTGAGAAGTCTCTCAACTAAAACAATACAAGGGAAGGTGAACCCACCATGAAGCCACCATGTAAGAGTTTAAGAACAAAAATGCACTGGCATATTCAGTATTGGTTTGAAGTGTCAGACCCATCAACTTTCATTTCCAGGAAAAAATTTAGGCATTTAAACCTTTCTGAAACTCATACTTGMCCTTGACTGGCTGAATCCCAGATTAATTTGGTTCTCATGAAAAACAAAGACTTTTAATCTCTTGCTTTAAGTGCAACTAAGATCTTCAACAGTACTAATTTTTCATACTTTTGTTTTGTTTCTAAACGCAGCTATTCCTGAATTTATAGCAATACCCTGCATTTCCATTGCTGTGATTCTCCCTGRGAAGCACACCAATAGTGTGGGCTTCTCTGGTACTGTTACATTCTCTGCCTGTGGCTCAGTTTCAGATAAAGAGTACTCACCGCCCACAGAGCCACTAATTGGAGTAATTAGGACACTCTTAAGGAGGTATTCCTGAAGCAGAAGGTATCTCTGAGTCTGCGCTTGTCCTTGTCCAGGGCGATAATCTAATACTAATTGGGGAACACCATAGCCTTAAGGTAGAAAAGTGACTCCTGTTAAATGAGCAGTTGAGCTCTGCATCCAAAAGGAACAGAGAAGTCTTCCAGGCTCYCATTGTCTCACTGAAGCTAAAGGGGACATGTTTCACACCAGCTGCTCTTCTTACACCTCAGCAAACTGAGCTCACTTCAGAGTCTGAGTTCTCATAGCATCCTGTGCCTCTGCCCATCTCCTCCCCTGGGACAACAGCTCTCAGTTAGTACTCCAGGAGTCAGATCCCAACATCTTAATAGAGATCCCACTGCTATCTTTATCTACTTAGTGGGAGAGTACAGAAAAGATAAAGTCAGATTCAGGTGTGCATAGATGCGCTGAGAGRAAATGGGCAGAAGTTGTTACACAGGAAATTTAACTACTGAAAACACTGGATATCTTCTTAGATAGGCAGATCAAAGGTAATGTAGATGAAGTGACTAAAATACTGGCGCTACTAAAGTAATCAACTCAAGGACTGTTTCACAGACAAACTTCGAACAAAGAATGTATAAACTATTTTACATTTAGACTCTAGTAAATTGGTTAGAGTCAATGCTAAACATTGTAATAGACACAAAAAGGGAGAAATCTCTGCCACAGCACAAACACTGTACAGACAAAGAAGGAGGAATCCTGCATGCCATTGACCTCGACACCATATTCTACTCTCTAGACAAAAAACCTTACACAATCATTTTAGAMGGTTTCTTTCTTACAAGGAAGAGAGACTAAGTAATTATTTATACTCAAGATTTCATGTTCTGAGATRGTTACCAGGCGAACATGAAGGAACATCTTCTCTGACATTAAAAGAGCTTCAGTTTTACATTAACTAACACTGGAAAAAAGAAGAAATTATCTTTTACAGACAAAACTTTTAATTAAAGATTTTAATGGAGACAGTCTGACTACATGCTTAGTTTCAGAAGCAACTCTTGAGCCCACCTTACCTAAAGGAATGTGAAAATGCCTGTAGTCTGCACAATGCCAGAGTAAGCATTAAAGAGAGAAAGGAAGTTCTGATAAATCTGAAGAAAAATATGTAACTGTGTAGCTGTGTTTTCTCACTAGACTTCAAAAAGCAAGAGGTTAATGGCAGCACTTTAAAATGGCTGATTTTATTACACTGCTTCCAAAGCAGCAATATTCTGTGAGAACATGTGAATTTTTATTTGCCCAATAATTGAAAAATAAGTTTAACAACAATAAATTATCTGTGGAAACGAATAATTGTATGGATTTCAGTAGTAAGAATATAATCAAGGAATTGTAAGCTGAGCACCCGATTGTATTGCATTCAGCAGGAGTTTTGCAAGCAGCTCAAAATACTTCTATAAATTACTCAATGCACATGAAGGGCTGTGTCATTTGGCACAATGTCAAAATACATTGCATGCCAASAATAGTTAAGAACTAAAAAGTGCTAATAGTCTCTTAAAAATGTAATAAAATCAAGCCACTTCTATGAGGCAGAACAGCTTAGAGACAAATAAGACACACCTGGAAGGAATCAACACACAAGACAAAAAAACCCAAACAAACCCCCAAAACAAAAACAACAATAAAAAACAACAACAATAACAAAAAAAGAGTCAAATGACAAAACACAAACCACGAACAGTTAAAGATATCAGTTGTTTAAATATAGTGTTCCACAAGCTGAGAAAGAGACTAGAAATGACAGTGCTATGTGCATCCCACAAAGGCAGACAGAGACACTGCCACCTKCAATCACACCAGAAAAGTAAGAGCAGCAGTGAGGTAGTAGCACACATTGCTTCTCTCACCTACGTAAAATACACGCCACAGAACTCCTCAGCATCAGTGAGGACATACAAGCAGATTTTGCAGCAAGTCTCTTACCTCCCCTAAAGCAGTGGCTGAGGGCTCCTGACAGATTCGCTTTTAGAAGTACTAGGTATGTTAACAGCACAAATCTATTGCAGTGATTACCACTTAAATAAAAAATGCAATTACTTGGGAAAAGCTAAAGAAACCTACCTGACATCTTCAAATTTCTTGGTTATGACTGAACCAACAGAAGAAAAAGCAGCAGAAGCTTTCTGACCAGCCTGAGACAGGGTTTCTGATGTTCTCTTGTATCTGTGTTCAAAAAAACATTTAGCTTTTAGTTATTTAAATAGAACACATAAGGAACCTTTCAGTGTGTGTATACTGTATCAAATGCAGAGGTACACTTCAGCTAATGGAAAACCTACTTAATGTATTATTTTGAGTCTTCGCAGTGCCTTGTGGCTACTTTATCTCTGCCACCTCTGACTTCAGACCAGGTTCACCAACATGCACCTATTACCCCATCCCCAAAACAGATGCAGGACTTACAAAAATATAAAACAAACTCACACGGAAAACACCCCAATCAGAAAAAAAAAAGTCAGAAAAATACAAAAGAAAACAAAACATAAGAAAACAATAATATACACACACAGTGGAAAAGGTCTATTTTTGTGCCAAGTGTCCAAATTTTTGTATACAATTCTGTCAATAAAATTCACCATAGAAAGTTTGAGGTATATCTAGCTACATTCTGTGTAGTCATTAATTGTAAAAGGTAGTTTGCTCTAGACCTTAAGCTAACACTTGCGCTTGGCAAGACAGTAACAGTGATGTATTCTTCCTGCAAGAGTTCAGTTTACAATGATTTTTTCAGTGTRGAAAAGAAGGGTATTCTGTTGCACTTAGAACACCTTGGTATCCCAGATCTGTCAGACAAAAGAGGTGTGTTAGAATAGCCCATATTTTGGTCAATCATTATTTTTTTCACCTAAAATATGGCTAGCAGTGTTCTTYAAAAAATCCATGTTGATTTACCCAAAGAAGTTTTAATACAACTTAACTTTGTGTTATTTATACTCATCTCATTTCACAAGACTAGTGTTTAGACAAGATCTAAACAGTTWTCACTTCAACAGCCTAAACAATCATCATGATCTGGTACATACGCTGTGGTTGACGTAACATCTTGCCAGCTTTTGGTAATATTCTGCCTTAGTTCCTGTAGTGAGTTAATTCCCAGCTTTCTCTTGATTTCTGCTAGATGCTTCTCTTTGGCAGCTAGCACTTGTGAGAGCGTCTGGATTTCCTCTTCCACCTGTGGCAGRAGAGTTGTTAACAAGTGATTAACAGTTAACAAGGAATATACCCAACCATYTAACTATGTATTTTTTAAAAGCATGTAGTAGACATCAGTAGTAGGAGGGTTAACAGGTTTTAACATTGCCTCACAGTCATTCCAAATACTAAAAGAGAAATCCAACATAGCCTACAACAGAGCTAGTGAGAAAGAAAGCTACCGGTAGCTAGCTCTGTTATGGGAATATGTACAAGCAAGTTGATAACTAGAATGGTTATGAAATGCATGGTTAGAAATCATTACCTATGATATGTAAAGGTTGAAGATTAGTCAAACCTGGGACAATCGCCAAGCCTGTATTCTACTTCCATGTCAGAAGAGATACCAATGTGTGACCGGATCAGGAAACTCAGAGCATGTCTGATCTATACACAGATTTTGTTTCCTTGCTCAAACAGAAAGATTTCTTTGTGGTTTAAGCCAGCACCTCCAGACTTGGATCCAGCCATGGAAGTGCCTTCCCCAGAGCAGGTGTGGAAATGGTGGCAGACTGAGCAGACAAAACCCACACAAACRCAAAACAAACATACAGCCCCTGCTTTGCAACTAGAAAACCATGCTGTTTGTATACTTTTTTACTCCAATGGTCACTGAAGCCTCGCCTGGAAACATGACCAGAGTAGTCAGCACAGTTTTACAATGCCATTCTGAGCTACATAGAAGTGACAGAGGCATTAAGACCATATGTACAAAGGCAAGGGCGTACCTCCAATCCTACTTCCTCATTCAGGCAAGATCACCCTACTTCAGAGTACCAGGCTGCCCACTCGTTTAAGCTCCTTACAGGAGTCCAGCTCCTTACTGTACTCCTTACAGTATCTTCAATACACCTTTGTTTTGGGTATCTGTCCAAAGTCCAGTGTGACATATGCTACCAGGACCAGATTACCCTCACCACTTTTGGCATGAAATGATACTCAGGACTCCCAATTACAAGACTGCATTAAATGTGGTTATTTCACAGCTAATCTTTGTTTGCCAACCTTAGTCTTAAGTTAGTGTCTTTCATAAGGGTCCTAAAGTCACATAGAGCTACTAAAGAAAAAAGACTAGCTGCTTAATAAAGCTTGACTTTGGCATGTATCAGGCTTGAATAWTTGCCTGTCTGTCCTTCAAAGAATGCTACTTTTTCTCACTCTTAGAAATATTCTGTGATGGACAAGAATAGTAACATGTTTAGACATTAGCAATRCAGTGCCTACACAGATACTACTACTAAGTATTCTTCAGGAAAGAAAAAACTTTAGCTACTCCACACCAGCTGAGACAATACGTGGGTTTTGGCTTCCAACCATGTTCTCTTTGACTGCTTATTTACCCCTTTCTCACTTGAGAAAAAAAAAAAAAAGGTTAGGTATTTACGCATCTTGGTTTAAGATTTGTACATTCAGCACTTTCAGCTTAATTTCCCACCACTAGAACTGTCTGTTCTTTTCTCCTTGACACCCTTCCTTTCTTTCTCTGCAATACACAGGAGTGCCGGCTTTAGACACTCACAGAATAATTATGAAAAGCATTAACTGCATGTTCAAAGATAGCATTATCCCAGATTTTCATTGTCAAAACAAGTTTAAGAGCTATTTGCAAAAAAAGTACCTTGGCAAGCTCTTTTCTTAGCTCATCCTGTTCTTCTTCTGAGAGTGTTTCTGCCATGCCGATTGTAGCAGCAGCATCCTCTCCAACCTCAGGTATAGAGTCACTCCTCAGCAGCCCTTGAGATGAATAAAGCATTAAAAGTCTGATTATCACATCTGCCAAACAGTAGCTAACATTAGCACACAGCTCTATTGTGCCAGTGCACAAAGAAAACTGATGAGACGATACCAAAGTCATGCTCACCAGCTACAGGAAGGAAATTAAAGGCATTTTATGTTTCATTCTATCAAGCTGTATTAAAGTTCAATATAGTGGCAACCGTTGCTGTAATAGGAGACTGGAAACCTGTTGAAAACAACACATCACACTACTGTGTGAGAGAATCTAAGGTGCAGAACACTATGTCCTGACCAGTGTTTCCTACACAACTCTGCCTGGGAGTCCATGCACACTCTGGTGTCTCATTCAAAGGGCACAGAAACTCCAGAAGCACTGGAGATGCTCAAGGCCAATGCAAAGGCTCCCTCCCTTACTACCGTCTAGATGAGATTTAGACGTGACCACTCTGAGCACACTGGGTGCAGCCACAAGCAAGGTTCACAACAGTGGAGAAAATGATTGCACAGCAAGTGTGACCTCTTCCTCTGCACCCTGCTTGAGATCTCTGTCCCTAGTAACTGGGACCAGTGTGGCTAGMAGGTTGCAGATATCACGGAACTAGAAATAAGCTGCTGGTTTGCACCTGAACAGTAAGACAAATAAGAAGCCCAACAGCCAAAAGGCTGTTGCTTCAAAGCAGGGAGGGCTGAAAAGGGACTGATAAGGATGTGCATCCACTCACACTGCCACCTCTTCCTCTTCCAAATCCAGAAACTAAAACTCTGCCAAGCTCCTATAAAAGCACAAACATCCCTATGGTCTTCCTCARCTTTTGCTTTCACAGTTTCAGGGAAAGGAAGGAGGATGATATTATTTGTATTACAATGATGCATTCACTTTAATGATTCATCTTTTCTTAGTCCTYTGTGCTTGCAGAAAGATCATTTTAAACACCTTTAAGTGCAACAAAATTTCCAGCAAAAGATTTTCCACTTTGAGTTTTAGTAGCTGACACTTAAAGTTTGTCAGAGTCAAGCAATCCTGTTCTAATTACAGAGACAAGTTTGCAGGGAGACTGCATGCTGGAATGGGTGTAGATTCCCAGAAGTTATTCTCTATTCAAGAGGTAAAATRGCTTCACAGATAATAAAAAAGAAGTTAAGTAAAGATCTAAAAATACAAGAGAAAAGAAATCAGGATTGTTTGTTAATAAGGAGTGAGGGTGTATGTATAAATATATGCATGTGTGTATGTATATAAATACATCATTCATTTAATTTGAAGGCACATTAAGTAACATTTCCTATTAATCACTGTAATAATTAGCCATCTAACCAATAAAATTCCATCCTCATTTCAGCAGCTTCTCATGGCATTCCATAATATCYTTTGGTCTGGGAATCAAAGACTCATTAATCACCACTATGATTTTGCAGTGAAGTTTCATACCAAACAGCTACATGACAATCAACTGAAAAGTCAAGGGAAAAAAAGATTCTATGAGTCTGTAATTAGTTGCAGGCATTCTATGAAACATACTCCTAGCAGCTGTCAAGCCAAAAAAAAAAAAAAAAAAAGAAACCTTATTCTTGATCAAACTACTGAATTCAGGTAAAGCTCAATTCCACAAATTCTTTCCAAAACAGTATGTTTTCTGCCTGTATTTGTGTCCAGAATACTTGCCCTCTAGAAGTATACTGCTACACGAACAGAACTTTTATAAATGCTGTTACCAGAGTGCACTGGGAAGGAACACTACAGGAAGAAAATTAAACCTCATTCTGCATTTATTCATGAGATCTGTGCCATGTTTTCCCAGAGATCTACATGTGTTTTCTACATAGACCTAATGTAGGTCCTATGGGTTTCCCAATACACTATTTTCTGTCAGAAACCTAGGGCAGTAAGAACTTCAAAGTCGAATGCCCAAATCAAAGCACAGCACTACAGCACCTAAAAAAAAAGGATTATGGCTCATGTCACGATCAGATAATTTTTGTTTTATACATCTACGTTTCCTTAACAATTCAGAATGCTATGCTTTTTTGTCAACTTGCTATTTAACCTGTGAAGGCAACTGTGAAGGAAAACTAACAACCTGAACTGCATTTCTCCCTGACACCCTACAACCTCCCAGTACGTTCTCCTGTGACTCCTGACCTTGCTCTTATCTGCAGCCTTTCAGGGACCACTTGCTTGCCATTGCAAAAGCYACTTCAGAAAGTTTGCAAATACCAAAACCACACGGACTCCAAGAGCATTAGCACATCCAGCTGAAAGTCTGTTCAATCTGATTATGAAGAGTCATCTGGATTATATCACCAAAAATAGACCATCAAGTGAATCCACCRGTAGGAAAACACGCTGGATTGTCTCCTGCTGCAACAGCTTCTGTTTGGGGAATGTACTTTCTCTTCAGAAAACTCGTTTGTTAAGACTGTTCTGCTTCTTCCGTACCAAATGGAATTTGAGGCACAATGCTAAGAAGCAAGGGAATGATTTCTCCTCCCCTTCACATTCCTAGAGCTTTTAAGGAAACAGAAAATCACTGCTACTCAGAGTCCTCCATACCTCACCCTGCACATCTTRCCATGTCTTCTTCTCCTCTCCTTCTGAGCCCCTCCCATTTATTACTTTTTCAAGCTCCACATGAAGTATGCAAACACCTTCCCATCAATCTTCATTCTGAAACCTCTGCTTTCTCTCCCTGTCACCATCCACCTCTCTGTTCACTTTGCTCTGATTCCTCAGTTCAGTACCTGCAGGACACAGGGATCATCCATGCTAGGGMAAGGCTGTGCTGGGCCATCTGACGAAGATGTAGCTGTCTACACAGCTATCAACCTACAGATCTCCACACTAGCATGGCTACAACCCAAATGTATTCCATAAACCAATATTCACAACCAGTAAGATCCTGGCTTTGTAAAAACTTCATAAGGAAACGTGCACAGTTCACTTTAGATCCTAGGGGGTGGGAAAAGGAACTAGGAAATCGGCAGTCAGCCAACAAATGGAAATGCTTTGGCTCAAACTATTATTAAGAGAACATTTCTCACTTGTGGTCTTCTTTCACCAACAGAGCTGTTGTTGTTATTATTATTATTATTATTATTATTACTTTATATTGTTATGTAATATTACTATTACAGCTTTTAACTTGTTACCTTTTGTTATGTTAGTTTCTTGCATCATAAGAGTTGGAAAGGACTTAAAATTCAGCCACTTGGTACTCTTTCATAACCAAGTTTAGCCGAACATTTCATGTGTCTTAAACAGAAAAAAACTATTTGGGGGAGAAAAATTGTAAAGACTTAGATACTACTGAGAAAACTCACCTGGCTTTAAGGTACATTTTTAGGTCTGTATTCTAAGATTAACATATTAGCCCAGCAGTTTATTAGATCTACTTAAAYGAACCAAATAAAGACATGAGCAAGTTAGTTGATTAGGACTCCATAGATCACATACAGGGAAGTGAGTAGGCAAAGCATTACAGTAATTCAATTAACACCTAGTTTTTCTGATTTGGGGTTTGCTTTGGCTAGTTTCAACCCAAGTTTGTGCTCTATTTGGACCATAAATTCCTACTTCCCTGGCCTGAATTCAGAGATCAGCAGCGAACAGGAGCAGTTTAAGGAAGTACTTGTCATTTCRGATGAGCAGCCTTGGGGTGGGGGTGGGTTAACAAAAAGATTATCCACAAAGCTTTCTTTTAGGTCGACATGTTCTGCATCCAACACTCAGAATGAGCATTTTTGTTATCACTATACAGCTGGCAAAGTGAAAGAAAAAAGGTGCTTGTTATAGTTCAGGAGAACAAGCTGTTGCAAAAAGACCACTCCAACATTTGAGTAACATACAGTGCTACAGAGYTTATTTATTCTGCAGTATATAAGAAAGATCAAATTTAAGTGCTTCCCATTTATCTCAGTAAAGAAGCCAAAGTGAGACATACTTCTTCAACCTGGGGGAGAAAATTCTTAGGCTTCTCCCAAACGCTAATCAGATGTTCATTAAAAGCAAATGAAAAAGAAAATAATGCACAGCAAAGGCTGGTGGTAATGGTGATGCATCATCATCTGACACAGAGCTGCTTCCCCTCTCCTTTAGAAGAGCTGGGAGATGCAGTAATTGCAGAAGTGAAAGCTGACCACTGTTTCCCAGTAGCCCCTGGCTAACCAAGTTCACAGAGGGTTGTTCACTACAACAACAGTGAACCTACAGTTCACACAGAGGTTCCCCAAGGGATGAACATTTCTTTAAAGTTTTAAGAAACAAGCCCAAAAGAAAAATTACCTTTCAAATCTTCTGTCAAAAGAAAAATTAACACCTGTGTAACTTTGTTTTGCCACACCTGAAGGACGTCTAAGATTTCTATATTTAAAATTACTTTGGAAGATTACATCTGGCAGCAAAGAATGGAATGGAATGACAGTAAAACCAGACAGCGGTATGTTGGGAGGCACAGCTATAGATGTTCCATACAACAGGTTACCAGCTAGAAACTCATAGGGTTAAGCACTRCATGGATGCAACCGCAGCACAGCACAGGGCAGCCCCAGCACTGTTAGTATCTGCAGGTGGAAGGTTTGCAGCATTTTAAATGCTAGGTAGAATGGAGTGAAGGTTTTAGAGGGCATTTTTGTTAACCAGTGAGATTTTCAGTAGTAAGGCAAAAGCAGATTTTAGACAATCCAGAGCACTGAAGTCCTAGTAGGAATGCAATTCCTACCTTCCAMCCCCCACCCCCAAAAAGCTAATAATCAAACTAGGCAAATTATTCCAATTTTTCACAAGTTGCCTTTTTGTTTCTCTTTTTTTTTGCCTGTTCATTTTCCTTCAAACTGTCTGTCTGCTGAAGAAATAACAAATACTGTAAAGCTGGTAAATGCATAACACATGAGATATTACCTACATGACACAGTGAAGCTAATACACTACCAGAATTAACAGCTTTTATAGATTTTTTTTATTTGAGAAGTTTTACAGATTGCTAAACATAGCTAATTGCTAAGCATTTCATGTAGAGATTTTGAGAAAGGAAGAGAAGAAAGTTACCAGACTTTGCCAGCGTAGGTGATCCAGGTGGAGAAAGGTTTATGCCAGGCGACAAGTAAAGATAATTTCTGTTCACTCCAGCATTGAAATCGAAGGGTGATTTGTAATCCTCATATAGATCCATGCCAGACAGTTCAGAGTGCGCAGCCATTCTCTTCTTCCACCAAAGCATTCATCTTCGCTTTCTGGGGCGACCCAGACAGCAGGATTCAGAAACCCTCCATTTCTTCACATGACACTCACTCACTGTGCCTCCTCAGAAAATTCAGCTCTGCTACATATGATAGAGCCATCGAGCAAGTGATTTCTTAGCCATCTTGTAACTGCTGCTGTTTACATGGCACAAAGTTAAGTTCCTGTAAATTTATAACTGAGGCTGGATTTAAACAGACCGTTCCTTTAACAAACATTCACAGTACACTGCTCATGGCTTCTGGAAGAGCCTTGGTCCTCYGCCGAGCTGCATCAAGTATTTCCAATCATTTAAATAAAAAAAGGTCAGCTGACTGCAGCTACACCAGGATATCCTTAATCTTCTAGGACACAAAAGGATTACTAGCCGTAATCTATCCTATATACCATCTGTGTTGGACTTTTTCTTCTGATTAATGGAAAATTCTGCGTGCATAGCTATTTCTCCAGCTGCTTCCATCAGTGTAATAACTATGAGTGAGAACCCAGTCTCTGCTGCCCGGGTATCACACTGTAGTGTGAGCTCAGAATAGGAGAGAAGGCTGGGCTATAAACACSACCTAGGTTTATTGATGAACATTCTAACGTGCATTATGATTTTTKCTCATGAGGCTAAACATATCTGGGTCTGAGAGGTTTTGAAGGTTTTGTTTGGACTTTTTAAAAAAAAAATATTATTGAAGTGCACTGCCTTATGTTCTCAGTGCTTCAACCAGCATTGTTTAGAGCAGTCAGTAATGCTAGAAGCCAGTAATGCATGGCCTGAAATGTATTTGTGTTTTGACACATTTACCATAAAGAAAGATCAACTYACATAAGCCATCTGACTTCATGCCAGGCCTTTAAGATTTAACCCTGGGAAGCAAAAATGCTTCTTACCTAAAAGAGCCTTTCAGCACAGTTTTGCAGCACTTCACTACTTTTAAAAAAAATTATTTCAAGGTCCGCTTCTTTCACTGGAAAAACAAGCTTTCTAGCAATGCAGATCACYTTTACAGTTGAGCAACAATTTCCTCCCAAAATCCCACACCTTCACATGGGATCCTCACTGCAGTCTGCACACAGAGGAGCATAATCAAATCGAAGTTAATCTCTTCCTGCACAGTAAGAGTGATTTTTCTAACAGAGCTGATCAGACGGTAGTCCAGAGAAGTGAAGGAGCTTTGCAGCATACCAAAGTATGAGCAAAATATTCCGCAGGCATATGAGAAGAAARCCTTCTGGAATTTTAACTTCCCATTTCCACTGCAGTCAGTCAGAGGGCACAGGAACAGACCTTCCAGCTAATTRAAGAGCAGCTCCTTTAGGCTACAGACCTACATTCACTTCTGGTGCAGTGCACCTACAGGCTCATAACAATGAGCATGCKGGAGCCTGAAACACAGATCTCTGCTATTTTCTGGAAGAAGAAAATAGARGGCCCCTCTGCATTTCTGACACGTGGCTGTGACATGTACCAGAAATACTGCAACGTTCACCTGACAAAGGTCAAAACTTTGGTCACAGACTCTAGTTAAAGCATCCAGAGGCAGCAGAGAACTGTAACACAGCTACAGTAATAACATTCTCTATTAACCAAGCCTGTTAATATGAATAGCTACAGATTCTGCTTTGCAGCTTTCCCTTATGTACCTCAGCAGCCTGTGAGAGACTGCCTTCTGTGCAAAAGGCTCAGTTGTATTWACTGGGCTAGGCAAAAAATTACAGGTTATCAGATATGGCACACAAAGAGCTGGGTGTTTTCTACCATCACTCTCCTGACACAGAAAGAGAGAGAGAAGGTGAGGCTACACCCTAGGACTTTTTCCCAAACCTAGATAATAATTCAGTCAGTGCTAGCTGGCTACAACTGCAAGTAGCTATTATAGGAAAAAGTACCCCKTACAAAGGTCTGTTGATCCCTTCCAAAAATCAGTAATACCATATCCTAGGCATTTTCTGGAGCCAGCATTATATTCTTGTCTTTTACATGGGGTAGGTTGAGTTTTACCCCTCACCATCCATTCAAAAAAATATGTTACTCTTCCTACATCTCTATAGTGCGAAAGTTAGTTTCGTGTCCCTAGAGCCATTGGATTGCAACACTCAACCACCGACCTGGCCTGCCACCCCTACAAACAGAAGTCTGCATGGGCCAAACTCTTCAACACACCTTCAGTGTAGTCAGAGACACATATAGGATGTGACCCACTGCTGGAACACACATTTGGCTTACAGGGAAGATTTGCTGAATTCCAAATCTGAGCCTCCACCTGAAAGGCTGAATTCTCTTTTGTTCTGGCTTATGCATAGGCTGAACGCAAGCCCAGAAGTCACCCAAAACAATCTCCAATTTTTAGAAATATTAGCGAAATATTACTGTCTTAAGATCATTGCCAAGAGAGGGACACCATGCAAGCACTCCTTACTTCAAGTTACTCTCTTTGCTCAGATTAATCTTGTTTACAGTGGCCATACAGATGGGTTGCTGCAGCACCTCCCAAACACATCACCTAAATACGTCACCCTCSTGTTCTCTCATCCACAGTTTATATGAGTGCTGCTCCTCACTTGTTCTCAGGTACATATACTACCTGGTGATGAAGAAAGCTGTTCTGCTGAACAAGCTTCTTCCTCAACATTTAGGGAAGTYTGATGGTGTCTGCACGGAAGTATAAGCCAATCCATTCTGTAAAGGACTGAAGTCCACTCTTCCAAATCTGCTTGTAAGACAACTTCTAGGCTGTCATCCCTAACTCATGCACTTTAGGGAAGACAAGTGATTCCCTGCCAGCCATAACAACCATTTTATCTGCTCCTTCCCAGTAGTTCCTTAGTACACCCAGGGATTCAGGGCAGAGCAGGGCAGAACTCCCCCTACACTGCCTAAAGTAAGGCTGAAGAAGATAGGTTCTGCTAGTGGTGGTGCATGTGGAAGAGGAATGAATCCCTCTCCAAGGGATTTTCCAAATTCAAGTGACGGCCCAAGGAAACACAGCAGGATGGGGATCACAAACAGCAGCTGCACAGAACCAAAAAGCAAGGTTTTGCTTTGCAGCATGAAGCTTTTTGACCAGTTTAGCAGCTCTTGACAGTCACAGCTAGGCAGTGACAGGAATCAAGATTTCTCTACAATCTTGAAATGAAAACAGGCTCATTATGAGGCCTTTACAAAGGGCCCTCCCATGACCAAAATATCCTACTGRATGGGCTTCCTCTTCTTCACAGTAATTCAGAGCACATGCAGCTGGGTGGATGTGGAACTGAGGCTGTAGAGCCGTACCCTAATAGATGGATGCAATAATAGGGCAAGACACCCATTTCAGAGCTGAAGCTTAAGTTTAGGCTGCTGTTACATGGCTTAGAGTGGTTACTATGTATCCACAAGTATCTCTGCTCTTTGCCGTGCATGGTAAACACATTTTTACTGTGTACCTCAGTCGTAACTGCAAGGTACCAGCAAATCTTGAAGCCTAAGGAAGGAGCTGTTCCAGAGACAAGTAACAGTGGGCGTTTGCTTACTATGAAAGAGATAAAAACCAAAGATTTTGCTCTTTCAGAACAAGTACTCATTTGCCCTAAATATCTCAGGATAACTAAAAGCTTAGTACTTAGAAGTCATTTATGCCATTTTAAAAGCTGGTGTCTGAGAGACTGGCACAAAGGTAGATACCTTCTGTCAAGAATGCTAGAACCAATTAYTGACAAGTTCAACTGCATGTCATGAAGTCTCTCAGGAAGGCTCGGCAAGCCCCAGCAAAGCATTGCCATCACAATTCCTACCATTAATCATATTGTAATCTCCTCTGTTACGATTATAGTGTACTTAAAGCTTTCCCAGGTAACTATTTAGCATTAACAGTCACTCCAGATTGTGCACCTCATTAATCATAAGGGAGGGAACTCCCTCCACAGCTAGAAAAGCCTTTAAGTTTGAGCAAACACTTTTCACCAGGTATTTGCCTCCTTAGTCTCAAATGTGGCACTTTCTTCACATAGCACCTGCTACTCAAGTCTGCAGCTTCCACCTTAAYCCAGGGCTCTAGCAACAATTTAAGCAAGGCAATATAGTATTAAGCCACTTCTACCCTCATGTTAGCTAAGAAAGGATAAGATGTTATGGTAGCCTTGCAGAGAAACTGCATTTCCCACATATTGGTTTAGCAGAACAATATTTTGTTTATACATGAAAACATTATATCCTTCATGCCCTACAGGAAAAAAACCCTGATCAAGTATGAATGAATACCACCTCTGGGCTTCAAAGAAACTGAGATATATATTCAGTAGTGTTTCATACAAATAGCTAAACTCAGGAAAGGCTACCACTCATGCCTCAGGACTGGAGGAGTGCAGAGGCTACCCAAAGACATAATCTGAACAATATTTTGGACAAAGTTATCCAAATAAACAATCCACAAGATCTAATCTGAGTTCTGCTGTTACATAGGCCCTTCACCACATTGAACATCCTGTGTTTGTGTCCTGACCATACCTGGAGCAGCCAGGTGCACCACAGCCCATACTTTTGGCAATGCTATCATGACTCCAGCACTTAATCCAGCAAGCCAAAGAGAATGAGGAAAATGAGGGAAGGACCTCATTGACAAAGAGAGGGGAAGAGGTGCAAGAAGCAGTTGTTTGGAGGGCATAGCAGTCTCTTATTTCAAGGTTGCCTGTTAWGATTCAATTGCCTTCTCAGACTATACTTAGCTTGAATTTTATCTTCTCCAGTCTGCTAAGAGGCAAGATTGAGTAGAGGCTTTTCAATAACTGTGTCTGGGACAAAAACTTCCAAACAAGTCTTCCACCAGCCCCATTTTTCTCAGGTAGATCCCAATCAGGCARCAACAATCAGGCTCCTCTCCCCACTCCAGTGGAGTTTTATACAGCATAAGCCATTTTAAGAGCCATAAAGCTACTTAAGCATCTTAAGCCAATCTAGGTTCTGTAGCATCAATTTGATCTTCAAAGTCTTACCAGTTTACAGACAACTAAAGCCTTTCAGCACCTGATCTGAGGCCTTAAAACTGCATTAAGAGAAAAAGATGCCGTGAAGCAATAGGACAGAAGCCCAAACACTAAACAAGCCTGAAATTCATAAATGCTCCTATTTCCACACTGTGCTCTATCCCCTCCCTTTAACAGCAGACACTTCTTTAGGTCTGAGATTCGTGCGTGACGTGAATGGAGCTG